CTCCCCCAAAACGCCAAAACCCAAACCCCACTCGGCGAAGGAGAAGAAGCGGCGCAATGCTGGAGGCGGCGGCGATCCCTGAGCTGTGGAGCACCGTGCACGGGTGGTTCACCCCATGGGTGCTGTTCATCCTGCTCAACCTCGTCGTCCTCACCATCTTCGTCACCTCCATGGCCACGGCCCCGGCGGAGGGCGGAGAAGGGACTGCGCCCGGTGCTGACGGCGAGAGGAGGAACCTCGCCGTCCGGCCGTCAATGGAGCTCGACCGGCACCGGTCGCCCAACCTGCCTCGCTTCACCGCCCCCGCCTCTGAGGCCCCGGCGACCGGAGTACTGGATCTGGGGCAGCCCGACGATCAGCCGCCGGCGCTCGAGATGGAGCCGGAGAATCCGGGTGAGCGCGAGCACGCGCGCATGGAGAGGAGCATGTCTGAGGCGGCCGTCGAGGCCGAGCTGCCGCGGCGGCCGGCGAGGCTGCGCAAGTCGGCGAGCGACAAGTCGGCGTTCGCGCACGTCGTGGCCAAGAAGGACATCGAGGTGATGGAGGTGCGCAGGCCGGCGACGACGAGGGACGCGGAGCGCGGCCGCCCCCTGGTGGCGAAAGCGGAGGAGCCGGCGTCGGAGGAGGAGATCCAGGAGGCCGGCAGCGAGGTGGACGCCCGCGCGGACGAGTTCATCAACAAGTTCCACCACCAGCTGAAGCAGCAGCGCATCGACTCCTTCAGGCGCTCCCGGAATGCGCTCCACCGCCGCCGGGCGTCCGTGGTGCCAGAGGCGCGCTAGGCTGGCGTCTCCCGCAGCCGCGGGTGCTCCACAGAGCTGCTTCCCGCGCTAGTAGCCCAGTCGATGAATAATAAATAACCAAACAAAATCTGGCTTCCGAATCTTTGCTAAGAAATGACATGGTGGCGAGCAAGCTCTCAAGCGTTAAACCAACCAATGTTGTGTGTGCCGTTCGGCCATGCGATGCGCCGGGGAATCTGATATATGTTTAATGCTGATGAGGGTTCTTCTGCACCTTTCTGTCACAGTGTCACCTTTTGTTCTGCACATTCCTCCTAACAAAAACAGTTCTTCTTTCCCGTTCGGCTATTCTGTTCTGCACATTGATCTCGTGCGGGTTTGTATGTGCTCAGGTTCCTTTTGTTTCCGAGGCGTCATGTGGTGTGAAGACAGCACGCCGCAAAGTAAGCACATGCAGCAATCATTTGCCACTGTTTCAGTCATTTGCTCATAAATGCATTGCAGAGCATGGTTACAGGGGTAGGTAGTTCAGTGCTAATTCAGTTCACTATATCATTGATGGCGTGCCCATCTATAAAAAACTTTATAAATGTTGATGGTACAAATACAAGACAAATTGAGTTGGCGTGTAACTGCATAAATGGACACTGCATATCAATATAGACTGAACATATTTGATCAAAATTCTAGTCTTGGTCAAAGTTAGCGTGTAACTGCATAAATGGACACTGCATATTCGTGCAAGAACAAAGGCAATTAGCATTTACAGAATAAAAAAGCATACATTTATATATCTAGAGATGACATGTCATGTGTGTTGGGGAACGAAGCATGCAATTTCAAAATTTCCAACGCTCACGCAAGATCTATCTAGAAGATGTATAGCAACGAGAAGGGAGAGCATCTCCATACCCTTGAAGATCGCAAAGCGGAACCGTTTATCAACGCGGTTGATGTACTCGTACACCTTCACGATCCATCCCAATCAAGTACCAAACGTATGGCACCTCCGCGTTCAGCTTGATGACGTCCTCGCCTTCTTGATCCAGCAAGATGGGCGAAGTAGTAGATGAGTTCCGGCAGCACGACGGCGTGGTGACGATGTTGGTGAAGAATAATCTCCGCAGGGCTTTGCCAAGCACAACCGAAACTATGATGGAGGATAAACTAGAGGGACGAGGTTGCCGACACATGGCTTGGTGTTTCTTGATGTGTCTTGGGTGCTAGTGATGCCCCTCTATTTAAATATTGAGCCCTGGGGTCGAAACTTGGAGCAAAGCCTCCTCAAAGTTGGTTTTGCCCGAAAGGCAAGAGTCCTTCTCGGGCTCTAGGGCTAGATGCCAGGGTTCCCGGCGTCTACCCCCTAGACGTCAGCGTTCATGGCGTCTAGCCTCTGGTCTCCGTAAAACTCCCTTTTGCACTTTTCAAAAGCCTCATGGGCTTTCCCCTTTGGCCCAAATAAAGTGTTCTCGCATCCAAACATTTCGTTCGGAACACCTTCCGGTGAATTCCGGAACCCTTTCGGAGACCAAACACTATTATCCCATATATCAATCTTTACCTTCGGACCATTCCGGAGCTCCTCGTCATATCCGTGACCACATCCGGGACTCCAAACAACATTCGGTCACCAACATACATAACTCATATAATACTATATCGTCAACGAACGTTAAGCATGCGGACCCTACGGGTTCGAGAACTATGTAGACATGACCGAGACACCTCTCTGGTCAATAACCAATAGCAGAACCTGGATGCGCATATTGGCTCAGACATATTCTACGAAGATCGTTATCGGTCGAACCTTATGACAACATACGTTATTCCCTTTGTCATTGGTATGTTACTTGCCCGAGATTCGATCGTCGGTATCCTCATACCTAGTTCAATCTTGTTACAGGCAAGTCTCTTTACTCGTTCTGTAATACATCATCCCACAACTCACTCATTAGTTACATTGTTTGCAAGGCTTCTTTTGATGTGTATTACCGAGAGGGCCCAGAGATAACTCTCCGATACTCGGAGTGACAAATCCTAATCTCGATCTATGCCAAACCAACAAACACCTTCGGAGATACATGTAGAGCATCTTTATAATCACCCAGTTACGTTGTGACGTTTGATAGCACACAAGGCATTCCTCTGGTATCCGGGAGTTGCATAATCTCATAGTCGAAGGAATATGTATTTGACATGAAAAAAACAATAGCAATAAAACTGAATGGTGAACATGCTAAGCTAACGGATGGGTCTGGTCCATCACATTATTCTCCTAATGGTGTGATCCTGTTCATCAAATGACAACACATCTCTATGGTTAGGAAACTTAACCATCTTTGATTAACGAGCTAGTCTTAGTAGAGGCTTACTAGGGACACGATGTTTTGTCCACACATGTATCAAGTTTCTGGTTAATATAATTCTAGCATGAATAATAAACATTTATCATGATATAAGGAAATATAAAATAAAAACTTTATTATTGTCTCAAGGGCATATTTCCTTCAGTCTCCCACTTGCACTAGAGTCAATAATCTAGTTCACATCGACATGTGATTTAACACCAATAGTTCACATCTTTATGTGATTAACACCCATAGTTCACATCTCCATGTCACCAACACCCAAAGGGTTTACTAGAGTCAATAATTTAGTTCACATCCCTATGTGATTAACACCCAAAGAGCACTAAGGTGTGATCATGTTTTGCTTGTGAGAGAAGTTTAATCAACGGGTCTGCCACATTAAGATCCGTATGTATTTTGCAAATTTCTATGTCTACAATGCTCTGCATGGAGCTACTCTAGCTAATTGCTCCCACTTTTAATATGTATCCAGATCAAGACTCGGAGTCATCCAGATCGATGTCAAAGATTGCATCGACGTAACTCTTTACGACAAACTCTTTATCACCTCCATAGCCGAGAAACATTTCCTTAGTCCTCTTTAGGTACCTAAGGATAATTTTGACCATTGTCGAGTGATCTACTCCTGGATCACTATTGTACCCCCTTGCCAAACTCATGGCAAGGCACACAACAGTCTGGTACATAGCATGGCATACTTTAGAGAACCTATGACTGAGGCATAGGGAATGACTTTCATTCTATCTCTATATTCTTCCGTGGTTGGGTTTTGAGTCTTACTCAACTTCACACCTTGTAACACAGGCAAGAACCATTTCTTTGACTAATCCATTTTGAACTGCTTCAAAACTTTATCAAGGTATGTGCTTTGTGAAAGTCCTATTAAGCGTCTCGGTCTATCTCTATAGATCTTGATGCCCAATACATAAGTAGCTTTATCGAGGTCTTTCATTGAAAAATTCTTATTCAAGTATCCTTTTATGCTATCCAGAAATTCTATATCATTTCCAATCAACAATATGTCATCCACATATAATATCAGAAATGCTACAGAGCTCCCACTCACTTTCTTGTAAATACAGGCTTCAACGTAAGTCTGTATAAAACCATATGCTTTGATCACCTCATCAAAGAGTATATTCCAACTCCGAGATGCTTGCACCAGTCCATAGATGGATCGCTAGAGCTTGCACACTTTGTTAGCACCTTTAGGATCGACAAAACCTTCTGGTTGCATCATATACAACTCTTCTTTAAGAAATCCATTAAGGAATGCAGTTTTGACATCCATTTGTCAGATTTCATAAAATGTGGAAATTGCTAACATGATTCGGACAGACTTAAGCACCACTATGAGTGAGAAAATCTCATCGCAGTCAACACCTTGAACTTGTCGAAAACCTTTTGCGACAAGTAGAGCTTTGTAGATAGTAACACTACCATCAGCATCTGTCCTCCTCTTGAAGATCCATTTATTCTCAATGGTTTGCCGATCATCAGGCAAGCCCACCAAAGTCTACACTTTGTTCTCATACATGGATCCTATCTCAGATTTCATGGCCTCGAGCCATTTACTGGAATCTGGGCTCATCACCGCTTCCTCATAGTTCGTAGGTTCATCATGGTCTAGTAACATGACTTCTAGAACAGGATTACCGTACCAATCTGGTGCGGAACGTGCTATGGTTGACCTACGAGGTTTGGTAGTAACTTGATATGAAGTTTCATGATCATCATCATTAGCTTCCTCTCTAGTTGGTGTAGGCATCACGAGAATGGATTTCTCTGATGAGTTACTTTGTAATTCGAGAGAAGGTACAATTTCCTCATCAAGTTCTACTTTCCTCCCACTCACTTCTTTCGAGAGAAATTCCTTTTCGAGAAAGGATGCATTCTTAGCAACAAATATCTTGCCTTCGGATCTGTGATAGAAGGTGTGCCCAACCGTTTCTTTTGGGTATCCTATGAAGACACATTTCTCCGATTTGGGTTCGAGCTTATCAGTCTGAAGCTTTTTCACATAAGCATCGCAACCCCAAACTTTAAGAAATGATAGCTTATGTTTCTTGCTAAACCACATTTCATATGGTGTCGTCCCAACGGATTTAGATGGTGCCCTATTTAACGTGAATGCAGACGTCTCTAAAGTGTAACCCCAAAACGATAGTGGTAAATCAGTAAGAGACATCGTAGATCACACCATATCTAATAAAGTACTGTTACGACATTCAGGCACACCATTATGTTGTGGTGTTCCAGGTGGCGTGAGTTGTGAAACTATTCCATAATGTTTCAAATGAAGACGAAACTCATAACTCAAATATTCACCTCCGTGATCAGATTGTAGAAACTTTATTTTCTTGTTACGATGATTTTCCACTTCACTCTGAAATTCTTTGAACTTTTCAAATGTTTCATACTTATGTTTCATTAAGTAGATATACCCATATCTGCTCAAATCACCTGTGAAGGTCAGAAAATAACGATACCCTCCACGAGCCTCAACACTCATCGGACCGCATACATCATTATGTATTATTTCCAATAAGTTAATGGCTCGCTCCATTGTTCCGGAGAACGGAGTCTTAGTCATCTTGCCCATGAGGCATGGTTCGCAAGCATCAAGTGATTCATAATCAAGTGATTCCAAAAGCCCATATGCATGGAGTT